ACCAATTGTTTTTGAATGAAATATCAAAAAAGTATTTTTCACAAAAATATTGTGGTGTTTCATCTGTATGTCCAGCGACTCTGGAAACATGTTTATCTTTCAAGGGCAAACAATTTGAAATTTTGTACTGTATAGTTTAGGAAATATTAAAAAAATTAGAAAGTCCAATACTACCCATTTTCTTCTAAACTAAACGATAGAAAATATAAAACAAACTCATGCGACCAGTTTTGTTACGTAAAAAGTTATTTTCTCACATTTTGTATAGTTTGGGAATTATTAAAATGAGAAAAGAAACAATTGTGGACATTGTTTAAACACCTGAAAATATCTGAAAGAACTATATCTAACAAAGTTTCTCTTCATCACGTTTCTTGAATGAACAGGGTATTTCAAGAGTAAACTAGAATTATCAAAAAATGTAGAACACATTTTTTTCACTTGTATGAGTTTTACAAAAAAATCAAATCATTTTTTCCGATAACTGTTATAGTACACAACATTTTGTAGAAAAATATGGTTCTAAAATACTTTTGAAGATTGATTTGACTGTGAAACAGAAAAAACTTTTTTATTTTGGTAATATAATTGTTTTACACATAATTATTATTATTAAGGTTGTTGCTGCTACGTCTCAAACCTTAAATACTGCTCTACGACCTCAAGTTACTTCCACCTTGGCGGGTGCTCTGGCTGGAATTAAAGTTCAAGGTGCTTCTAGTTCTGCACAACAGACTTTACTATCTCAGGTATCAGCAGCACTTAATCAAAATGTTGGAATGAGACAAGGCAGTCCGGTGCGGATACAAACATCAACTGGAGGAGCACCTTTTGTAGCAGTCAGCGTTCAAAATGTTCAACAAGGTTCCGCTTCTCAAACGACGAATGCAGAACAAGTAAGTAGGATTTTGAAGAAATGACAAATTTGTGTTGCCCCATTTCAGTGTCTAATCCAACTTTTTATTTTGATAACGATTTACACAGTGAATGAAGCTTTGTTTCATGAAATTATTTCTTGAAGAACTTCTACACATTGCTATAAGAACTATTTATTTCATTCAGTATTCAGTACAATGTAACTGTGTCGCTTTGCTAGGGAATTATGAATAACATGTTAATATTTTATGGAGTACTTAAACTGTGATACTAAAATCATTTTTATGTAGATTTTCACAGAAAGTGATTATTTCTTTTATTATTTTCATTTTTATTTGTTAAGTATATATATTTTTCACCACCCTGTAAAAAAAATTGTACATAATGAGTCCTATGAAAAACTGCAGTTAGAAATACTAATAAATTATTATTTTGATAACTTTGTGTTTTATTTTGCATGTTTTTGAGTTTTACTTGTGTTGGAACTTCGTAGTCAGTAATGTTCGTGACAATTTCTCCTGCAGAAAAAATAATTTGAAAAATTGAAATTTCTCAAATCTGAAGAAGTGACCTCGAAGAAGATTGGCACGAACGTTTCTAATATTGAAAATTTAAACTGTTGAATAATTCACTAATATTTTTCAGGATTGAATTGTCTTCTGAGAAGATTGTTGTTTGTTAAAAAATGTATTTGTAAATAAATATGGAAGTTTTCTGGTTTTAATTCAATTGTTACCAAGAAAGAAACATATTATTGACCTTTTTTTGTCTACCATCAAGTTATTGGCATTTGTTGGAGGTACTTGTGACTTGAATTTGATGTTAAATTGTAGTTGAAAAGATGTCACCAAAGATTAAGTACATAAAGGTTTCCCAGGATAATAGTGTCATCTACACATTTTATTTTATTTTTTTCATTTATTCATTTACAAACTCCATAGACCATGGCCCAGTTACGGAGTAGGAAAGGTAAATATCACAAATAGATTTGTACATAGGTCCAACGAAGTGACAAAAAAGATAAAAAAAATCACAATTTCATACAACCTATTTCTTAAACTAGTAAGATTTTGGAAGAAGATATCACAGTCACTTTGTACATTATTATAGGCATTGCACATAGCATTTAATGGGGCATTTTGATAATAATTTGTTATTGCCTATTCAATATAAAATGTTCGAAAAGATATCTAGTTTCATAAGCAGGTACATTGAAATCGATTTTTGATAGAAAACAGGGATCATCCACTTCACTATGTATCACCTTGTACAAGTATATTAAGAATGCAAATACTCTTTTTTCTGGAGAGTTTGTATGCTGTACTTTTCAAAGTAGCACTACTTTGGAAATATCAAGGTCATAGTTACCTGTTTCTTTGAAGTGGAGATATCTCGGGAACTTGTTTTGAACTCTTTCAATGCTACATTTGTGACAGTTATATTGAGGACACCAGATAACGGAAGCATATTCCAAAATGCTTCTAATAAGAGATATACAAATGTTTGATGCAGGTAATAAATATTGTTGAATTGCCTAGAGTTGCCAACTACAAACCCATACATGCTTGAGGCCTTGTCTAAATGATAATTCATAATCAAAAGTAACACCAAGCTTTGTTATTTCTTGAGTTCTTTTGAGTTTCATACCATCCATCTTGTAGCTGTATGTTATACCTACTGACATTTTTTCGGGGCAGGTCGTAGTATTACACTTTTGAATTCTGAATAACAATTTGTTCTTTTTTTGACCATTCAATGATGTTATTTATATAGTTTTGTAGATGTACACAATCTTCAACTGTTGAAATTCTTCTTTCAAGTCATCTGCAAACAACAAATAGCAAGATGATGGTGATATTTTTTACAAGACTGTTGATAAATGAAATAAATAACAAAGAACACAAGTTGGAACCCTGGGGAACTCCAAACGATGCAATAAATGGACTGGACTTATGCCCTTTCATTATCAGACTTTGTTTTCGATTAGATAGATATGAACTGAAAAATTTCATCAGATTGGGATGAAAACCAAAGTCATATTCTAGGGTTTCTTAGAACCCTAGGAGATACATATTTAAAAAAAATAAACATTGCAAACAACCAAAATTTCCGAGACAACACAAAACGTTATGAAACAAACGAATGGCTCTATCTGTGATTCTGATAAGGTGGTGTCTGTTTTTTAATCAATGACAAAGAAAAAAAATGAAAAAAGGTTCAATTATTCCGGTATTTTACTTATCAAATTGAAATGTGCAGTATTAAGGCAATCGACATCTCTTCTGGTGTTGACACTATCGCATTTTAGGATACGTATCATTTCGCTCAAAAGTCTTTTGGAAAAATATGGTTGAACATCTAGAATAGTTGGATGATCAAAATTAAAAATGTGTCTATACTCTTTTTCGTGTTCAACGAGAGCTGTGGGGTTTTTTATATTCAGTTTCTTAGAGTTACTTATGTGTTCTGAAACTCGTGTTTTAAGAGACTCAAGAAACAATATAAAAAAATCCCACAGCTCTCGTTAAACATTAAAAAGGAATATGGACACATATTTATCCAAAAGACTTTCGAGCGAAATGATACATATCCTAAAATGCGATAGTGTTAATACCAGAAGAGATGTCGATTGCCTTACATGCATATTTCAACTTGATAAGTTAAATACCGAAATAATTTACCTTTTTTTCGTTCTTTTTCTTTCTGTCATTGATTAAAAAACAGACACCACCTTATCAGAATCACAGATAAAGAAAGCCATTCGTTTGTTTCTTGTCGTTTTGTGTTGTTGTCTCGGAAAATTTGGTTGTTTGCAATATGTTTTTTTTAAATATGTATCTAATATGTTTGATGGTTTATAAAAAAGTAATATTATCAACACGAAAAAACTACTTTTCGGTGAGTAATTTAATTAAGAACTCATTATTTTTTGTGAATATGAAACGATAATAATCGTTTAAGTTTAGAATAAAGAAAATATAGAATAAATGAATCTAATTGCTCTTTTGTATTGGTTCGTAATTTTTACTTTTCATAAGAAAAATATTTTTTTTTCAAAAAAAAAAAAAGAAATTTATAAATATCAACAAACCTAGTAGCATATTTTTTATGCTTTGAACACCTTAATATTTCAATGAAGAATTGCCTTTTTACTTTGGACATTCACTAACAGTTAAAACTATATGTTATTATTTAGGGTCATTTTCATAAAATCCATGAGAATTCTATCAATAATTATGTAAAAAGAATTCATATTCCATTATTCAGCTCCGATATTTTCCAGTTTGAATATGCAGAGTACAGGATTCATTTCAGTTTAAAATCTATAATTATGGTATAAAAATTTGCATAGGATATGGTCTGAAACTAACCAAAACTAACTGTAGTCATATTTATGAAGAACACGACATTCGGAACATGGTTTCCTGAAAATTGGTGAAACAATGAAACAAATCCAACCAAGTCAAAGACATAAATATATTGTATGGTCGCCAAATATCAATAATAAGAGTAAATAATCAAATGTAGAGTAGTGTGACTAAGACTTCTTCAGTAAGGAAATCGGCAACTTCAAAGGCAAAGTTTTGTATTTAATTTATGGAATTTAAAAATACTTTTTGGAAATTCTAGCAAAATCTCTATTCATTCATAAACCACCTCAATGAGCAGAAATAATAAATCAATCTGATCTATAAATGAATACTTATTTTTGAACATGACAATTGTTTCAAAAATATTCACTAACGTTTTGTCAGGTAACCACTGTCAAAATTTGCGGTTAGTAGTGGTGAGCATTTGGTAACTTATACCCATACTGTGGGCATGATCTGCAAAAAATAGTGCAAAGAATTCAAACTGTAGAAACTTTCCGATAAGCATGAAAACTGAAAAGAATATGTCCTCAATTTGTCTAAAAATATACAAAATTACCTACGACTCGTATATGTAAAGATATCTCTCTTCGGTGTACATCGAAGTGCAAGCCATCAATCAAACAACTTCTTTGTCTTACTTTTTTGCATGTATCTTATCGCTCGTTTTATTGATAACTCATGCATAATCTTTAATCTTTTATGCTTGACAACTATGTTGTTGCCAAGCATAAAAAAATATATAAAAATCAATTCAGTTGTGGGTTCAATTGGTTTTATTCAGATACATTTACAATCATAGGAACAGGATTGTTTTAAAGGTTCCTAGTGCTATGTAATTTTGTGGACATTTCTTCTAGTCTTTTTTTGATCACTGAGATAAGGGTTTATGGTAAATGTAAATACAATTTCAATGTTTCCTAAAATTACCTGGTGTTAATTAAGGTTGATCAATACTTGAATTTCAGTATGTTATTAAAAATAGGAACGAATCTCAAAATATTGAATTGGAAAAAATAGCATCAGAAAGATAAAAGGTGATATCTTGGAGACATTCCTACTTTTAACATACTATAATATATCAAAATGATTTCAAGTTCTTCACATGTAGGAAAACGTAATACTTTTCAAATTCCTATCAGGGTAGATAAGTACAGTTTATGATGAGTAATACATTAATGTCTATTCAGTTAAGAAAACAATGCCGATTGAATGAAACTATTTTAAAGTTCTTCACATGTAGGAAAACATAATACTTTTTAAATTCCTATCAGGGTAGATAAGTACAGTTTATGGTGAATGATACATTAATGTCTACAGTTAAGAATACAATGCCGATTGCTATTACATATTAAAATATGTACGTTAATCATCTTTGCCAGGTACTTGATGTTTGTTAAAATTGAAGTTCATAAGTTAAAAATACTGCTTCCTTAGTTTATATGTAATCAAATAAATATAATGATGTATTTACGGAAAAATATATCTTCTAATCAATTAAGAGAATACTAATAACGAGTAATTATAATGCACTCAAGCTTTTCCATTCATTGGTTTCCCATTCAAGTCGCCATTATTATAAATGTAGGACTTCACTAATACCTCTGTCGAATCGTGGAAATTCTTGAGCTGATCGGTTGCAATTTCAGGTTCTAAAAAAAATTGTACGTAGGAGTTATTATATAAGCATTTCATAAATCGAAAAATATCATATGTTATTACTACAAGTGTCCCTGAACCAAATTTAAAGTGCTGTTGCTGCCAATTGAGCTGATTTACACAAAATATTTTGACTAATATGTTGAAAAACAAGATATTCAACAAACGACTTAATCCACAATTTATTTACTTTTAATGAAATTACTATAATTGACTATTTGTAAGTAATATGAAAACAAACAAGTTTTGCTAATACAGAATTAAAATTTCTAAATAACAATAATGTTCATTTCAAAACTACTGCTGAATCTACTAAAAACATATTTCACAGACCAGTATTAAAGCACTGTTTCTGCATGTTTCAGTAACCAAGTAAACACCATCTCCTGATGATGCCAACTTGGTTAGCAAAATGCGCGACAAGAGATCACTTTAGAATTCTCAAAAACATTCAATTTGCAATTCCTAGCATTATTAAAATTTTTATTTTTGAAAGAAACAATTCCTAAACAATGATTTGATATTTTTCAATAGGTGTGTTACAAAATTATGCAAAGTTTTATCAGACTAAATTGTGAAGAAGTCATTGGCCTACCTATTAAGGACGCACAGAATTTTTTTGACGTCTTCCAGTCCTCTCTCAATGATAGGTTATACATAGAGTAATCAGGATTTCCAGTTACTTCCTTCTTTATGTTCAAAAACGAAGGAAGCGTTTTCAAAAGTTGTTCCTTGTCTAAAGCAGAGTATGTCTCCAAAAGAATTAAACCTTTGCACCTGAAAGTTAAGTCATTTATAGTTGTTGAAACACAGATTCATTTTAAATAGTTCCAAATTGGTATCAAGGATATTTCATTATAAAAAAGATATTTTTTTAAGATTATGAAAGCTTGATGAAAAACACTGAAATCCTCCACAAAAAATCACTTAGTCATAACTTACTTGCCTTACTGTATATAGCTTTTCATATCAAGTAGGTTATGAACTTCTGCAGTAGGTATTGCAATTGTTTTTTGTTTTGACAGAGCAAATGATGGTAGCAAAGCATTCTTCAAAATGTATGTAGTAATGAAATTTGTCGACAAAATTAATTATTTCTTTATGTCCAAAATGTTGGATTGGTGCAGTTCTTATCATCAAATGAGTGCAACAATGTGGATAACATTCAGTTTGATAATTTACATGATAGTTTTTATTTTGTTGAAAATTGTGTTTGGAAGTTACAAAGCTCACAGTGATGTGGTGTATGAGATGTGTAAGGCCATTGAAGAAAATAACACTGTTGGTTTTGTGAAGTTATTACATGAACATGACAAATGCATTAACAAATTTAACGCTGACGGTTATACTCCGTTTTTGATCGCTTGTGCCAATGGAAATACTCAATTAGTCAAACTGATGTTGAAAAAAGGTACGCATGCAGGACATATTTGACTTCCAATGTAAGTCTCAAACTTCTAATAAAAATTCTGAAATAATCCTGATTTGTAGCCATGAGCCTTTAATAACGGCAGTAAAACAGTGAGGAGGGGGGTATATTTCCGTAAAATTCAAAACACTAACAGAACATGATAAAACAATGAAATATTAGTTGCCGTGTCATATGTCAAGTCACAGTACATCTGATTAAGAAAGCAACGTTGCCAGCTTGTAAAAAATACCTAGGAAAATTATGAATACTCTGACCCGTTACTTGATGAAAATTAATAACGCAATCCATTATCGTTGTCATATATTATGTTATTGAATTTTGTCCCTAAGGAGATGTTTCTAATCGTCTATTCTGCTACCATACATACATGCATTCATGTATGTATGTTTGGGTGTAGGTACCACTAATACATTTNATGCTATGACATGGCAGTTTACATGAGCATCATTGACACAGTCTTTATTACAATGAAAGTTGAAATTTGGGAACTTTCGAAGTCGCGATTTGAGTACAAAGACTGAGACGAGGACGTAAAACGTATAAATGCTTTTGGGGAAACATATACATTCAACAGTTTGTAAAAGTGAGACGGAGACAAGGACCACGATGCCCAAGTTGATCCTAAAATTAATCTTAAATTTTGTTCATCTAAACATTTGCAAAAATATAATGAAATAATATTCAATGTAATATAATATTTGCACAATAGCAATCCATAGTAAAAATACAGTTATATGAGGTACCTCATTTTGTGGAATTGGCCGCGGTGTTAGTGCACCCGACTCACGATCGGAAGGCCGTGAGTTCGATTCCTGCCTCGACCAGATATTTTTCTCGAGAGAATTTATCTGGTTGAAGCTGGGACGATTCTGAAACCTTGTTAGGAATCACACGTTAAAAGGTAAGACCTCGTTAGTCCTTAGTTCACACAAGTTCTCAACTTTTGAGAGTTGTCGTTCATATGGGGGCGACAGCTGATTAATGGAAAAACATATTTTAAACAGACAGACAGACAGAAACTGAAAGATATTGCATATTTACTACATATATATTTCAATAGTATTTCACAATAGGGAAATATACTTGTCACATATCTATTTCAAAATTGGAGAACACAGAAAGAATGAGAATTTGTTTTCTGTTCATCAAAATCTGGACATTTACTCATTAAGTAACAAGTCAATAATGGAAATGTAAAGTATAGCAAGGTATGGATGAAAAGTAGCCTTGTTATTATTAGAAAGGGGGTATGTTAATAGATTCAAAACATTATGGAGTAAATTTCACTTGGTGACAATGAACAAAAAAAAAATATTAAATATAGGATAAAGAAAATACTTTTGTTTAATTTCTACTAAGTTTATTATTTGTTATGCCGGTTTTGGTTTGTTAGACCATTATCAGATACTTGAAAATGGCCTAACAAACCGTAATCGGTTGTAACAAATGAACTTAGGAGAAATCAGACATAAGTATTTTCTTTATCCTATATTTAATAAGAATTTCTACAAAATAAATAGTTCATCAATCGAACAAAATAAATATTAATCTTCAGGTCTTACAACAAACAATAGTATCAGGTATTGTTTATTACATTTTTTAATATAGGTGCTAATCATGTGAAACTAACTCTTTATGTATGTATGTTATCTGTCTTCTGCTCCTTCATTTTAGAGAACTCACTTGGTTATCAACTTAGGAAACGTAACAGGACAAGGGAAATCAATCAACAAAAAAGATCAATCAGAAATTTATTGAATGATATCCAGTTTTTTTGTAAAAGATTTCAGAGTTTTATATCGACCTTTTTTTTTGGTGTTTTTCAACATTTACAATTTGGAAATGGGCTGTAGCCCATTTCCAGATTGTAAATGGGCTACAGCCCATTTTCAGATTGTGATTTTTTTTGGTGTTTTTCAACATTTACAATTTGGAAATGGGCTGTAGCCCATTCAGATTGTGGAACCAGATTGAGGTTAAGTGGAAGAGCAATTGAATGATGACTTGTCATCATGTAAATTGAACTTCAAAGTATTTTTCACAAAAGAAAAATGATTTTAATATCAGTAATGTGTCATTAATTTGGCCTTTTAAAAAAGAGCTAAGAAATCATACAGATACTTATTTTAACGTTTTGGAGAATAAAATCTGCCTGTCTTTAGAATAGGAAAAAAATCTAATAACACTTGCAGTTTTTTGTTTGGTTCACTTCGTTTTCAAACATCCTCCAAAGAAGTATTTTTTTGAAAACTGAGTAATAATGAAATAAATGAATTTATGCCTGCTAATGAATTGGGTGGCAAAAATACATTTACTGTGTACTATACACACATTTTATAAAATAGAAATGTAAGTTAATGTTATAAATTTTTGTAAAAATAGGAGTTTGCAATATTTTTTGGGTTTTGCCTTACAAATATATCCAAGGGCACTCTTTTGTAACACAAATACCGTATTCATTACAACTTGCGTGATATTTCTCCAAAAACAAATATGAAGTAGATAGCTCTTGGTGCAGACAAACTTAATTCTCCCAAAATAATACTTATTACAAAACATTCAGATGACAGTTTCTTGTGTAAGTTCGAAATTAAGTTCATCTCACTGATTTCATTATCGTTACTGGAGCGCCATAATATTGTGGTGTCATCATTAATTTTAATGAGCGTGTTAGGAATCACACTTTAAAAGGTAAGCCCTCGTTAATCCTTAGCTCACACAAGTTTCGGCTTCTGAGGGTTGTCGTTCGTAGGGGTGCGACTGCTGGTTAACGAAAAAAACAGATTTTGAACAGAATATATCATTTATGTATATCAGGAACGATAGACTGAACCCTGAGGAACTCCTCAAGGCAATAGAAGGGTTTGTAAATCTTATTGTTGACAAAACTATTCGAGTACAAACATGATATGACAAATATGATTGAAACCATTTCCAAGAAACATTACTAAAACCATATATTTTCAATGTATGCAATAGAATTTCATGATTCATGCAGTTAATTGCTTTGGTGAGAATACTGCATTTTCCTCGTTCAGTTCCAGATATATTTATTTCAGTAAAAGAATTTAATGAACTGCAATCGATTATGAGAGATAAGTTTCAGAAGTTTGTAAGAGAAACATTTGTGAAACCTATAATACAATTTTGGTGTAATATACACTTCTCTGTCTGTTCTTTTGATGTTTTGAATTTCTCCTGTACCAACCATATTCCCAATCATCAAAATTTGACTGTTGTTATCAAGAGTGTTATTTTTTTAGGTGCTGATGTGAAATTGAAGTCCCGGAAGAATGAATCTCCCTTCTACTTAGCTGCATTTTACTACATACGACACCCTCAATATAAAAATGCAACTTGCATCAGAGAACTCTATTACGCTGGTGCAAATATAGATGAGCCCAATAACAAAGGACTGACACCTCTGCAAATGGCTGCTACATTTGGACATACACCACTTGCCAAGTGGTTACTGTTAAAAAATGCGTCTATGAAAACGACTCCTGATCCCTATGTTATTGCTTGCTCACAGGGTCATCAGGATACTGCGTTCCTCATTTGGAATATACGCAAACGGAATTGTTTAGATTTCAAGTGAATGTAGATCCAGCAATGTGCGCTAAATTTTAATCACTATTGATTCTCATTCAATACATTATAATCTTAAGACAAAATTGAAACATATCTTTTTAAATTTTTTAGGATTTATAAGTAATGTTGATATGAATAAAGTGTTTCAGAATTTTTGTCTACTCTTATCCATTAAATATTCAACAAACTTACCTAGGATGGCTTGGTTGCTCATAGAGATCAAGTTGAAAATACTGGTTGTTATGAATGAAGCACCTTCGTCTCTTGTAGATCGTAAAATGCAAATTATCTTTTTGAGTCAACAGATTTATATAATCACGATGTGTTATTTGAGTTTTAACCTCAATAACCTGTCCTCCCGGTTGATTCTGCCTTCTCACAGTTTGAATATAACTGTAGTGACCTGAAACATTTGATTAAATATGAATGAATTAGTTAACACTAATGCGTCGTGGTGCATTATTCTTTAGAACAATTATGCACATCATATTTACCTGAATCATCGAAAAAGTATTGTTATTATAAATACAAATATCAAATGCCACCACAATGAGTATGTTTAAAGGTAGTTGACAATGTTTCGTGGTGCATTTCATTAGTTCAGACTTCCATTGTCTAATATGATATAAATTGATTTGAAATACCTGAAAGAATCTGTAAAAAAATTAAAACAGATTAGCTGAAAAATAAAAATTATATAAGGCAAAAAAACTGAAATTACAATGAAATAAAATACAAGCAACAACAAAAAATAAAAAAAATTGAACTATTAACACGAGATGAAAATTAAAAAAAATATCAACAAGCAATGAAAATTAAAAGATTCCAAACCAAGTCACTTCACGACGTTTCGATTGTTAGTGTCCACAATCGTCTTCGGGTGATAACTGGACTTATTCCTCCTAGACTATTTATAGGTCATTCGAGTGATTTCACCTATCCCCTCTTCCCTCTCTCCGCTTCATTGGTTTTAGCGGAAGCTGACCGTTTGGCGCGGTGGGTCGTGTTCCGCTTGATTAGAGGAACGTCAAGTGGGCTCAAGCTGAAATCATCCACAAGGAAGAACACTGGTTTGGGAGAAAATTCAAAGAAGCCGCATATATGTTGTCCAACAACACATTCAGCCAAGCTAGTGTAGAGATACGCAACGTATAGAAACTTCTAATCAAGCGGAACACGACCAACTCCCGCCATACGGTCAGCTTTCGCTAAAACCAATGAAGCGGAGAGAGGGAGGAGGGGATAAGTGAAAGCACTCGAATGACCTATAAATAGTCAGATCTCGGAGGAATAAGTCCAGTTATCACCCGAAGACGATTGTGAATACTAACAATCGAAACGTCGCGTCGTGAAGTAACTTGGTTTGGAATCTTTTATAAAAAAAAAAATTCAGCTCCTTGTAAAAAATTCTTTTTATGCGAACACAATTATGTAACAAGTTTCATCATAATAAAATTTTCCATTTTCCTTGTTTTCTACTTCAGATGTATAGAAAATAAAACCCATGTTAGAGGTATTTTAGTTGGTTAGTAAAAATGTATACACGTTACCTGAGTTCACATTAAAAATGAAACCAGTAAACTTTTACTATTCATCAAAAAAATATCTCTTAGGAAAATGAATCTTATACCGGTAGAAGATGGAAAATACTCCCGCTCAATCTTACTGAAATCTTCATACAGATGGTGGATTAATGGAAGTAGTCCCTGATTTAATATGGGAGGCACATTTATGCTTGAAGAGAACACAATTCGGGCGATAGAGTGTGGTAGAATGGAACCTGAAGTACTAACGTTTCGCCTGCTACTGTAGCAGACATCATCAACGAATCATGTGCGTTGACTGCGAGGATGAATGTTGAAGTCTCAGCAACGACTTACTGACAGAGGCATTGCTGAGACTTCAAGGTATTTACGTTGACTTGTTGAATGAAAAAGCAACCTTCATGTTTTGAAATATAAAAGATAAAATATACAAACAAATCTTTCATTTTCGAAAATAAAAAACATGAAAGTATAATATAAAAGAAATACATAACATATAATAGTAAACCATGTAACAATAATAGGTAAAACGTTCTAAGTCATGAAAATCAGATTTGGAAGAATGACTGTTCAACTGTATTATCAGTGGATCAATTGTTTGACCAATATCAATCAGTCAATCAAATAGTATATTATATACCTAGGGTGAGAAGTGAGGTATTATTTACCGAGCATTTTTATATCCTGAGGCGCGTAGCGCCGAGGGATATAATGTGCGAGGTAAATAATAGCTTTCTCAGCCGAGGTATATATAGAATTTTTTTCACTACTAACATTGATATATTAACAATTTTAATTTTGGCATTAGTAATTTTCTAACAATTTGTTGAATATATCAGAATATCAAGTAGAGTGGAGTGTGTTTCTAATCAGACTGGCTTTATTTATGTAAAAATTTGGCATGTGTCAAATTTTGATATGAATCTAGGAAATATCTCATTGCATTTTTGATATATTTCAATGTTCCACTTCTCTCATCGCTTCTGTATGTTCAGAACTTAGAATTTCTCAATTCTGCATTATAGTGAGAAAAAAATTTCCTTGGTTATATGATAACCCAAGGCAGCTATGAATTGTTGCATGTCAAATTGAAAAATATGAGATGTCGATGATAAGCGCGCAACATCTACTTAGGCCATGAAAACGTTTGCCGGCGTTTCCATGACAACCAAACACTGTACAATGATTATTATTGCTGTCAGTTTGCCAAATGCGGTTTTAATTCAAATTTAGATGTCATTTTGAAGAAGTTAAAAGATCTATATAAGTAAAACGTCAATATAATTAATTGGAAAATGGGTGAAAATTCAAGTGACAATGATTTAGAGATGATGTGTACCCCGCCTGATTTATCACAATTGTACAATTAATTATAATTTCAAATAATTTTCAAGCGTATTTCCAATGTTCAATTTCCTATTTCTAGTTGATAATCAAGTTAACAAAAGTTTCTGTGAATATCTTTAAAATTATTTACCTAGGTGTTTTTTTATTATCATTATTTACCAAGGGTGAGAAATATTGATTCTTGTTAGGGGAATGGAGTGACTAATAGCAATTTCTCAGGTTAGTAGTAAAAAAAATTATTTATAAGCTGTAACTATTCTTCATATCACAAAAATTTAATGTTTAACAGGTAATTGTTCTAGTGAAAAAATATGTGTTCAGATTAAAAATTCTCATATTATACACCAATATATACATATATGAAGTTACAAATTGAAACACAAACAACAGCAAAACACATACATTTACACAAGTTTGACATTCACATGTTGTGTTGAAATGCTACTCTGTACAGTAAAAAGTATTATGCAGTAAATATTCACCTTTCTTAAACTTTACTGTATTATCGTATTACTAAACAGATCAAAGAGTATGTTATTAAACTTCACCTATTGATTAGTGTGTGAATTCTGTCCTAATGCAAGTCTAGAAAATAACTGTTGAAGCTTACTACCACTTCGAGTGTAGTAGTTATGAATGTCTTTTCTCTTTACCCTGATCAAGTTATCAGATATTAAATTGAGAATCAGAAAATGAATATGAAGGAATGGCAATATCATGACTAAATATATAATAACAATATCTCTACTCTATGCACAGGAATTAGTTATAGGTATAGAATTATTAGATTTACTATTTATTAAAGAATTAGTGTCATCCGCATATACCATTTTCAAATCTAGAGTTGTGCAAATATCATTTATATCATTCACGAGAGTATGAAGAGACAATGTCACAGTAAGGATCCCTCTGGTACTTCAACTTTTTCATGAGCTTGTGAAACATGACGTTTTTAATGACGACTACTTGTTTCCTCTCACTCAGATATGATTCAATCCATTTCTTGACATCACTACGAATTCCTAACCTATTTAATTTTTCGATCTAATGAGTATAATTGATAGCATTGAACGCCCTATTGAAATAAAAAATATATGACTTATTTTTCAGCGAATTTGGTTAACTCACTTCAAGCAGATGTGGTTAACTTATTCTTACAGAAACTGTGCTGCTTGGATGACATTATATTATGTTTTCAAGAAATTTACTTCCTTTACATTATAGCTCATTTCAAATAGTTCGCTAATTTGGCTCTGAAACGTATACTTCCAATATCTCTTCTTGAGCCTGTTAACACCTAAAAACTCTAATGACTGTAAGCTCATGGCACTTAAAGCATGATGGAAGTAAAAATATATTCCTTCGCCCTAAAGGCTAGACATACCAGTGCTAAAACAAGAGTAGAGTGATGTAAGAATGTGATGTAAAGAACACTGAAAGTCATAACAAAACCTTCTTGTTCATTAGATGGATTTATTCAACAAACTTGTACAAAGTTCATTATACTTTATTTTCAAACAGTATATAGTCCATTTATTACTCAACAGAGCATTTGTAATAACTTACTTAATGAGATTAATTTTGATTTTCATTATAACAGTTTTACAGAATCGCAACACTTTATTTTCTATACAAGAGCTTTCTCAAGAGGAAATTCCTCTTGAAAAATCAAAATCAAATTCAGTCAGATAAGTCAGTTCTGTAATACAAACGGTCAAATTTGCGAGCGTGCCTTGATTCTGTGTGCAAATGCGGCAGGCTACTCAATGTTTTTCTTGGTCTCACTAAGAGTGATTGGTGCTGAATCTAATGAAACAAATTTCCCATGTAGCAAAAGTATAGAATACTTTATTTCAACGCGCATTTCGCCGACCAAGTTAGCATCATCAGGAGATGACAAACTAAAATTCGGTTTTAGATGACAAACTTAAACTGATATTGTATTTTGCGACGATCTGCTTGAAAAAGTGAAACCCATAAAAAGTGTTTCCCATATTTACCCAGTTATTCGGTGCAGCTGCTTCTTCCGACTATTCTTCACATTTGGAATAGTTCATTCTAAACTGAGGAACCCAAAAAGCTGCACAATTAGTTTTAATTTCAACAGACAATACAATAATAATTGTCAGTGATGTTCTCTATTTTTTTATTTCAAAGTAGTTGTTTTTTCAGTAAGATATTTTGTTTATAGATTTAACATGTTATTTTATATGAACTTATTTGTGTATTGATACTACTTACTGGACTGAATGTATGGACTTATAAGAGTACTATTTTTATTCAAAAATAAATCAATATTGCTTTATCTTTCATAATTATTACAGTTTTTTCATGAGTCTTGAATTTAAATGACAAAAACATACGTTTCTGTCATCTTCTATTGGTCTTAGGTTAAGTGTCAATCAAGTTTTCCTTTTATTGAATTTACTTTGTATAATAATATAAACCCTTAAGAGATGTCTAAATATAATGTTAGTAAGGTGACAAGAATACACTGTCATCATTATCTTGTAAAATTATAGAGAGCTTTTTTTTTCATATAATTTTGTTCAAGATTTACTATTTCCAGCGAGAGTACATAATATGACTTATGATTTTATTTTTGAAGGGCTACCAATTTAAATGATTTTTCCTTATGCATTTCGCTGTATAAATAATGATCTTTTTTCAAACATTTTTGTGTTTTTTTCGTATTTTTCTTAAGAAATATACTTATTCAAACGTTACCACTTTTCCATCTTCTACCAGTTCTCAGTCTTTTAAAATAAAATAAAAAAAAACATATACCTTCAGTTACCAATATATTCTGGAAAATTTTTGTATATAAACATTTCAATAACTATGTGAATAGATATCTGATCAGATCTTCGTTTAAAAATCACATTTTTTCACACTTTGTAGAAACATTTCATAAAAATGATTTCATGTTATAAATATCTCACTTTGAATAACTTTCTTTTCTCACCTTTCTGGCCACGCTTGCGCAATCTGACTTGATTGGGAGAGTTAGACTGCAGGTAATTGTGAACAACCTCGAAATCTTGAAAAGGAGGAAATATCGAATCAGGTGGTAAAGGACCTTCAACGAGAAATTTGTGTTTGCGGGAATTCTTCAGCAACCTGTCGGCAGTGTCGATTCCTATTTTATGACAAATGACTTCAATCATTCTCCTCATCTTTCCTTCAAAGTCAGTTGAATTATCTATTACGTCAAAATATGGATGTCCCACCCAAGATGCTGCTGCTTTTGTATCCAGTATTCTTGCCAATTCAACACCCTCAGATCGACATGCATGATCCTGGAAAATATTTTTGCTATATTCTTTTCAGTCCAAACATAATCACCAAAATTGCTTGTGAGTGGAGATGCATACTTCCTCTTTTATGAAAAGAAGGAAACGAGTTCGCACCTTTGAGCGTTTTGAAAAGTTATTTTTCAACTGTTGATTTTAATGTTATAATGAATTATATGTAACTAATGAAATATATATATATCCAATTAAAAAAAAATAAATCAATGAATAAATTAAATGTGATATTTTGACGGCCATAAGGTAAGCCTTGATATAGAGAATATGGTCCGGGTGAAATTAATTACAAAGAAAATGTTTAAAACATAAAATATCCATGTACTATTTTTTAAAGTTATAACAATGTTGCAATATTGTTTAAAAAAATAGTTTCAAAACAATCAATCAAACATTTATTGAATCAGTTTTCCTTTACAATCACATTGGACAAAAAAAAATAACTTCATCATAAAATACTGGCTGATTCAACAAGTCAAACATGAAAAAAGTCAATATAAAACATAGGTACATTAAAAAAAGTTAATAAGCTACCATCAAATTGGGATTCAAGGAGAAAATCATCCACAGAGAAGTATGCTTTTTGCAATAGAAAAATCTTGAGTCGCCTTTTAAAGACATTGATATTTGAGGATTTAATGTCCTCAATGAGCTGACGTTGAGAGTTATTTCTAGTGATATGTTCATGGATTTGCTCATTTCTAGGAATAATTGAAATATTGTTATATCAGAGTTTGGAATATATACAAACTAGGCATTGTTAATAAACTATAACGAATGAATAATGGCCTGCAGTGTGCACTTGAAGATGCACCAGCCAGAATTCTGATTACCTTTTTCTGTGCTCAAAAGTCGACGGAAACTAGGTTTTACTACTTAACTAAGATAACAAATTATTTTCTGAAACTACTACTACTATGATACTACCCACCTCAATAGAGTAGAATTCCTCAGCTCCTTTGGCAGCAGATACCATATGAATGATTTGATTATATCGGTTATCTCTTAACTCTACATTATTCCATGAATTTTCTTTCATTATATTTTCCCATTTGTCTTTAGCTATAACTGCAAAAAAAGACAAGATTAAAATCTCCATTTTATGATTATGTTTTACATATGTATACAGTGTAGAGTAAAACATATGTTGTAGTTTTATGAACCATAATGTAAACATTTCTCATTTCATTTCATAATCAGAGCAATTTCTTGATACCACCTGTTTTTCGCACAGGAATACTTCCTAGTAGGTGGAAATCTTCTATCATCATGCCACTCCTCACGGGTGGCGTTAAGCGTAATATTGAAAATTATAGACCTATTAGCAAACTATGTATTCCAGGAAATATGTTTTAAAAAATGATGACTCAACCCCTCTGACAGATGCACCACACTCTTACGAAAGTTAGAAATAGAAGAACACTTCAATCTAGCAAACTGCTATTACAATCTTCATGCAGTCATTGTTCACTGTGGTTCTGGCGTTGAATCTGGTCATTATTACGCATTTGTCAAAATAAGATAATAAAACAACCATATGGTTTTTCCCTGTAGATCCATTGATAATAATTTAATAGAGTTTGCAGATTATGTGATAGAGAGTATGGATGATCAGATGCAAGTGGATGTGATTTATACGGATTTCAGCCAGCCTTTTGATGAAATAAGTTATAACTTGATCATTGAAAGACTTGCGGAGTTCGTCATAGATTAGCATCTCCCGGTGTGGATATTGCCACATACTAAAGAAAGGCATCAAGTTGTGGATATCAACGGTTACCAACCAGAACCTTTTGTGGTTACATCAGGTGTACCACAGTGGAGTTACTTGGAAACATAATTTTTTATAATTAATATTAACAATATTGTTGAACACTCGAACTTTTTACTATATGCGGTCGTCCTCAAGATTTATCGAACCATCAAAAATTCCAGGACTGTGGGAGATTGCTAAATGATCTTGATCCATTTGCAGAAATCTGTGGCAATAGTAGTCTATACCTAAATCACAATAAATACCTCAAAATAACTTTTACCAGAAATAGAAATTTTGCTGACTTATTGTAGTGTTTATATATTGTTTACTCAGTATTTTTATATGTGAATATTTTTTGTATTTATTCTGTTTGTATCCCTAGTCGTGCAATAAATAAATAAATGAATAACATTCACTTGGTTTTTGACAATAGGGCTAATATAATTTGTGTATGGGAAAAGAGCCTAGTCGTACAAATTTTGCAAATAAATCGATAAAATGTATTTTTCTCCTGTATTATTGAAAAGGAACAAAAAATCTCTGAAAACCAGAATGATTCTTTTGAGTAAATTATATTACCAAATAAGTTGTTGTTCATAGTTTAAAAAATAGAAAGATATATTCCAGTCTGAATTTTAACACTAGTTCTCACAAGTCCAGTTTTTGAAAAAGACAATTCATACTCTTCTCCACAAAATAATTCAGATTTTTTTTATTTGCATCAGACATGCCATTTCCAATATAAATATGGAAGGCAAGGTCAAGATTTTATGCCTTCTGAATAAAGGTCGACAGGAATCCTTAATCCAACTCTACACATATATCTACCTCCACTTTTTTGTAGTACAAATATCCTATCAAACATGTATTGGCAACAAGTTCCCCAAAAACAGATACCGTATCCCAGATGGGAATCAATGAGAGCAAAGTACACATTTTTTGCCATATCATTGCCCAATTCATTTTCTGATACTCTGACTGCAAAGCATCCTGATGAAATTTTTTTACATAAGTTATTTATGTGACCTTCAAAATCCAAATTTTTATCAATTTGTAATCCCAGAAATTTTGCTGACATATATAGTCATTTAGTTTATGTAGATTTCTTATGAAACAAATTTAATGTGATTCGAATAAAAATCCTGAATAATTATGCATTTTACTAGTCACAAAAGCCGAGAAGTTTATTTAAAATAATAGCAGTTAATTAAAAAACGCAATAAATAATATGGAACGTGTCCAATATTCCATGTGATAGGCAACTGTTACATCAGAATATAACATTCACGTGATTTCAATTTCCCGTACAAAAAATAAGTTGAAAAGTCTTTAAATTGTTGTGGCTTCTAAATATATATTTACTACTCAGTGATTTACGACAAAACCGGCTGTCTCTACAAATCATGTTTAATCAACCATCAATTGTAAAATATAACAACGAACGATAATGGTATAACATTACTTTTTGTTGGTATGTGAAAAATAGTGTTTGGTATATTAGCAATTTCAACTTACATGCTGAAGCGTCCATTGCTCCTCTATCACAAATGATCAAACAGTTCCTTTTGCACGTCTTTCCCAATTGAAAAAACGTTTCTTCTATCTGTAGCATCGTTTTCAACAAATTTTCTTGAAACACGGAAGCTGAAACAAAGTATACGACGTGAGCAGATCTGAAATTTTCTTAAAAAGATAACTAGTATGATTAATGCATTTCTCAAATATTCAATTTGTACTATAATTATTCATTAATGTTACAAATAACTATTAGAATTTGTTCGCGTTTACCAGTCAAATCTCGCGAGAATCTCAAAACTAATAACTAATAACTAACTGGTTAAATACCAAATATAAACATCAGACTGAACTTTTATTCAATACTTGCTGACCCTGCGAACTTCGTTTCGCCTTAGAGTCAATAAAAAAGAACATTTTTGATTGTATTAATTTAATTTTTTTATCAATCAATGATTTCAATTATTCTTTATTAGGTTACACTTTTCAGTTAAGCACCTTGTGATACACGACATTTTTTGTTTTATTATCAGGCGCAAGTATAAACATCGCAGATGGTCTTCCGACCCGTGAACATGCCACATATAATTGACCATGTGAAAAACATTGATTTTCCAGATTCAGACCATAAACTTTCAAGTATTGAACTTGTGATTTGTTAATGTTCATGGCGAATGCAAGACGAATTGGAAAATGAAGTATTTTAAACTCAAACGGTATATCGGTTGGGATCATCGAAATCTTCGGAATGAGAACTTCCTTACCTTCGAATTTTCCTTTGAGTATCGTCGCGTAAATCACATTGTTCATCAATTTACTTACCACCGTTGCCAAGTTTTGGTGGGTTTATGTTTCGAAGCTTGATTACTACGGAGCCAACCTTCAGGCGTAAATTGTGCGGTGGTAAGCCAGGCACATCCAAGGAGTTTAAAAATTCAATTGGATAGTTGATGGCTTCATCTTCATTTGTTACACAGTCAATTGATTTGAATGGATGCATTGTTCCAATGATGTTATTCTGAATTATGTAGTTTAGGTCATCTACATCTTTATTCTTAGCCGCTAAAATTGCTCGCTCACTCAACCATTCATTACTTTTGTAGCTAGTAATTATGTTTGGGAATACTTTGCTGATAAGTTCGTCTTTCGATGAGACAAAGTTACAGACATTCTGAGGAAATGAAATCAATCCGCTCGATTCGTCGACCGGTACTCGACCATTACCGATAGTCAGCAATTACTCAGAGAAGCAATGCAACTCTCATGTTTGTTGTCAGCTGAAGTTTCTTCACATAGCGCCATAGATTTGATGATTTGAGGCAAGCGTTTATTTCGTCGGCAGCCGTTGATCTTGGAATTACTGGCAGTGTTTGGCGGAAATCGACAGACAGTAAAATCACTGCACCTCCAAAACATCTCGAGTCATTGCGTAGATCTTTCAATGTTCGCTTAAGTGCTTCTAATGCAAGTTTGTGCGCCATTGTGCATTCGTTCCATATGACGATTTTCGATGCTGATAAAACTTTATCCATTGCGGAGTTTTTTGAAATATTACATGTTGGTTCTTCGATAGTTTGAAGATTTAACGGCAAGTTTAATGCTGAATGAGCCGTATGGCATCTTTCTAACAATGTGGCTGCTATTCCAGAAGAAGCAACTGTAAGCGCAATGTTGGATCTCGCACGAACAGTGGCTGAAATTAATGACATCAGGAATGTCTTACCAGTACAGATGGATCGAAGACCAAACATGGAACGGGAGCTGGAATATACGAGCGGATAGAAATCTAAACTACAGCTATCCGCTAGGACTATACACATCCGTCTTTCAGTCGGAAGTGTATGCTATCTTGCAGTGTGCAAGACTTATTAGATTGAGACCTCAAAGAAATGAGGGGATCAATATTTTTACAGACAGCAAAAGCGCACTAGGGGCTCTGGCAAATCCGAAGGTGACATCAAATCATTGGTACAAAACCAGATTAGGACATGGACCAATAAGAAGTACACAGAGTACTGGACAAAAGTAGCTGGCAACAAATACAGTAGAACCTTCATTAAGGAACCGTCCGAGAAAAGAACCGAAGAACTACTTCAATATAGTAGGGATCGGCTCAGAATAATTACAGGGTTACTAACCGGTCATTGTCCGCTTAGAGGACACCTGAATAAAATGGGGCTGTACAACGGAGACCTCAGCTGCAGATTATGCAACGAAGGAATAGAAACAGCTCTACACATCTTATGCGAATGTGAGGCACTGTATCACAGGAGACAGGCAATATATGGACGTACAAAATTACCCCCAGAAAAATATGACGAACATCCAACAAGGAACCTGTACAAACTAGTACAGGGAACGAGATTGATGGAATGGGTGTCATGAGAAGATGGGAGAATAAACGCAATAAGCCCAAAAGGCTGCAGTGTTTTCTGGAGACTTGGACTAAATGGACAAGTCAGACAGCTCCCAAGGTACAAAAAAAAACTCCTAAAATCGGACAAAACTTTTGAAAAAACCTTACACCAAATTTCCTATTCAGCCGTTGAGACTCATTACTGGTGGGAACGGCATCATCCATCTTCAGAAACCATTAATTGAATAGTTCTTGTATGTCGTCATGTTATCCAAATGTTCTCCCTCTTCATCTTCAATATACCACACCAAAGTTTGTGGATAAGTCAAACTGTAGATGTATTTTTCAAATTCTACATGTTCAACGTCGTTAACAATACTGGACGAGGCATTTGTAATTGCAGATCAGTTTTTAAAATCCGAATTGTCAAACTATGGATAAGTGCTCAATTCTGTTTTGTGAAAATGTGTTCCATTTAATGCATCTTCATTAAAATTTCAAATGCAAATTTGCATCAGCAATCGTCTGGATCAGAATGAACGAAAATATGTTCGTTTTTTACAGTTTTGGTTTAATCAATATACTTGTAAAGAAGGTTAGTTAGTTTAGATAGGGTTTCCTTAATAATTCCAAGATAAAATTATTATATTTTGGAATAACCGATTTCTCTTCAATTCTATTTTCAGATTAGGATCTGCTTTACAACAATATACTTTATAAATTCGATTAAACGAATAACCTTTATAGGTACTTACTTTTTATTTTAAATACCGTCATTAAAAAATAATTAGATATATTTGAATGTGGAATTGATTTTCCAAAAATTCGCTCAATCGTAAGTGTAATGGGGAATATCTATTCAATCGATAGCATCGGGGTCTTCGTTATCTACACTGTAGGTGCAGAAAAAATATTTGATTTTCAATATTGTGAGAGTCATTGATGTTATCAATGTGAGATAAAAAAAATTAGAACGCACGTATTTGAATTTGTCATCTTTGAAAAAAAGTAAATAATGGTGAAATTTGTATCGTTGGCAAAAATCACAACATAGTCGCATGATATAATTGCATTCGTTATCTTTCAATGACATTTGAAATCAATTTGAATAAACTCGCTCTTTTATTTTTGATATACCCGTTCGTCGGACAAATTGGAAATATCTGGTTGAACCTGACAATACTGCAAATATCTAGAAGGGAATATACCAATAAAAGCGAACAATCGGTTTAATTTAAACTTGAAACGCAGTTGATTAACGGATATTGGACGAATTTTTCATTGTTAAGTTTTGAGACGCAGTATTACTTGACCTCAATGAATACAGCAAGGAGAGCTTATCAGAGCGTATCCTAAAATCACACCTTCTAATTTGTTCGGAGTAGAGAAAATTTTTATTTTATCTTTCAAAGGGCGCGAGGGAAAGATACAGGGTGTTCCGTATATACGTCGCCAAATTGAATGATTCCTCTCCATAAATGAACTATAATTTTGAATGACATTTTTCCGAGAGATCAAAATTATAGGGTATTGAACTCGAAAAAAAAAGATTTTTGATAGAAATTATTTGAATTCGTGATTCTTTCAGAATATTTGAGAATAACGTCTCTACGTTACCAATCCATTCTTTTTGAGATCGAATTGAATTTTCTCCGCATTTCCCGAGGCGGAAATTGGATATTTTACCGCCCTGTTTCGATGCTACTGGTGAAATTGGTGAAATTTTGATATTTTTCATAACTATGTCAAAGTTATTCGCCAGGTTTGCTGGCCGTGGTCTACAGATTTTTATGCCTGAAATTTCGTCGACACCATTAAAAAAACTTTGTATTTCATCGTTACTCGAATTTTTATTCAGTTCTTTGATGAGCTGTCGCGAATGATAGGAAGCGTTGTCAAGAACTATTACACTATTCGCGCCCAAATTTGGGATCAATGTGTTTTCAAACCATTCCTCGAAAATATTAGCTTCCATGTTCTTATGATAGTCAACATTGCACTCCTCAAGTTTTCTCCACATAATTTCAAAGAATTCGGAACCCATCCTTTATTTCCTCCGTAATGCATAAAGATTAGTCGCGATACTTTGTTTGCAGGCATGTTAGGCGTACACATTCTCGAACCATCAGTCCAACCTTTCGTAACTGTGTCGTTAGTGTAAGATTCGTCCAAATAGAAAATTTGCCGTTGTTCTTGTCTATATTTAGTTATTTGTTTTGAGTAATTGTTACGCAATTCCACTATTCTTCTGCTTTCCATAACTGCTTGACGTTTGTTTATTATTTTAAATATAAATCCTAGAGCAGCTCACGTTATGGTCGGAAGTATTCAATTTCTTCCTTATGATTTCATTTGTAGGAATCTCATTGCTTTTGTAACAGTCGTATATTGTGTTTTTCAATGATTTTATTAGATGCACCACTAAAGGTTTTGGTAAAGCTGTATCACATCGCGTCTTGCGTTCATGAGGTTTGTTTTTGACTATTCTACGTACACTTGAGAAAGGAATTTCGATCAAATCTGATGTTGCTTGTAATAGTTTTTTTCCCTCGAAACCAAACTTGATATATAGATTCTTATATACATTGAAACATACTCTCTGTGTTTCAATATTCAAATGCACTCGAATCTTATTCACTGGTATCTCTTTTTCGCATTGTTCACCATCGCTATAGGAATCACTACACTGGAAAAAGTCTGCGTTGTTATCACACTCGTTATTACTATTAGTACTTGTTCAAGGACGCCACATTTTAAACAGATAACAAAAATTTTAAGTAATTATAACTGCACCAATATAGAATTTCAACACTCAAATCGCGATCAGTTCCTGAACTGAACATTGATGACACGACGGCGATAGCCACCCCCGCATTCCCCGATTTCTATTAGTCATCGTGACATGACTTCAAATTTAATTTTATGATTCTTCAGCCAATCATAAAATTCGGTTGGTGAAAATTAACCAATACGAACCGCCAATTTTACAGTCCACGTGGACTAGTTCGCTGCCGGTTCATTTCTATGTATTGGTTTTTTGGCCTTTGAGAGTGCCACCAACTTTAAATGTGCACCATATCGTTTACTTCGACTATACTACTCTTATTCTTATCGCTTTTGATAATGTTAACCACAGTCGAAGTGTCGGCATAAAAATATGCAGACCATGGAAAATAGCTTTGACATAATTATATTTAACATAGCGGTGGTTTAATTTAGGTTTGAAATAATAATTTTCCATGCAAAATTATACTGTATTTAACCTTGCTGACATGCATTCTGTAGGTATATGGTATGTGTCAGAGAAATTCTAGGGCTTCTTTAAGTATGCTGATTTGTACCCCAATAGGCGACAACCTGATATACACATTAGAATCCAATTATCGGAGACTAAAGATCTCTATGGATCCCTGGATATCACAATATCGACTATTTCATTCGTTAAGGTTCAAGAGTTATACGTTTGAGATTAGCAAAAGAGATTTGAATTCATAAAATAAGATATTCAAAAGCTGTTCAATACCTTCATTATTTCTTTATAATATTAATATGTTTATCGACCTTTCTGGTGATTGTCACCGTAATGAAGAACTTTATACACGTGTAGGAAAAGTAATCTTTTTAGTTCACCCAGGATGAATCATTCTAATCTTGTTCCATTCAAGTCGATGTTCACTTTCTGACTTCAATGAGGATATAACCGAATATATGAAATTCGCCCTGTACGAATAAACAGTTCTAAAATCATCTGCAACGTGATCGCGAAACCTAGGGATCACCATTACGTGCATACACTGGCAAAGCGTCAAAGTCACGTTATTTTTAGATGATAACGCTAAAGTTCACTGTAATAATAGTTGAAATTATTTTCTTTGACAAAAGATTTATGTTTATTCGAAACAGACAGAAATTTTAAAATGTTCAAATGAACCAGTTCAATTCTGGGTTTGAAAAAATTACGTTAGAAAACTTGATTACTAAAATGCTATATTTCGTTGAAATTCCATTATATTGTTGTGAACTGTTTCAGGATTTTTGCTTAATATATTTGATATTTTCAGCTATTCATTTTAAATTCTTTTTTTATTATTATTAGTTCTTTCAGGGATTTCAAATCATTTTATACAGGGCTATTCAAATTCGTTTCTGTACATGGGGATCTCGTAAACGATAAGAGATAGAGTGTCGGTTAAATTGTGGCAAAGTTGCGTATTTTTGAGACCTATTCAATGATGTAAAGAAATCGAATATAGCTCTTTTGGTTCTGGAGATATACAGGAAAAACAAAAAAATTCCAAATTATTTTTTTGCCTATATCTTCTTTACTCGCAGACATATTGAAAATATGTCCACATTTTGCTATTGGCACTTGATGTGAGCTCTCAGAATATGTTCATGAATCTTTTATATAGGGTGTCATCTGACTTGGGCCACCCCCATCTTTGAATTTTTAAACACTATGATTGGAATGAAGTAATTTATATACACAAAAAAATTAATGACGCAATAAATATTCGAATTGGAGTCCATCCATTTCGAGTCATTTCTGAACTTAATACACTTATTTGCTGCATTGTTGCGAAATCATTCAAAATCTTCAATCTGGAGTCTTCCACATTTTCTATCTCTCTGCCAGCGTAAATCCTATTTTTCAATGTCCCCCATAGAAAATAGATCTGGTGATCCTGCAGGCCATCTTATTGGCCCATTATTTGTCTTGAAATGGAGGGACTCCAATTCGAACATTTAATGCGCCATTCATTTCAATTTTCATTACAATTATATTACCGAAACATCCCGAAATATAAAATTTAATTGAATTTCTCAGTATGAAGGGAACGTCGACGATTCAAAAACTACAACAAAAAATACAGGTCCGTATTTAAAAATTCAAAGATGGGGGGTGGCCGAAGTCAGATGACACCCTGTATAAAAGATTCATGAACATATTCTGATAGCACACATCAGGTGCCAATGGCAAAATGTGGACAGATTTTCAATATGTCTGCGAATAAAGAAAGTATAGACAAAAAATAATTTGGGATTTTTTGGTTTTTCCTGTATATCTCCAAAACCAGAAGAGCTATATTCGATTTTTTTACATCATCGAATAGGTCTCAAAAATACGCAATTAAATCTCTTATCGTTTACGAGATCCCCATGTACAGAAACGAATTCGAATAGCCCTGTATAATATAAGACAATGGAAGTACGAACTAATGAACTTGTCAAAGAATTGTTGCCTGTATTTATTTTACATTATTGTTATGAATCGCACATTAAAATGTAGGAGCTCGTTAATCCTGAGCTGGCACAAGTTTTACTTCTGAGGGTTGTTTTTTCTTAGGAGGACATCAACTGGTTTTTATTAGTCTTTCTGGGTAGTGTTTGTTGGAAAGATCATGATTAGATCGAAGGGTGAGAATATTAAAAAAATATCATTTGTGACATATTGGGATCAGGCACTCGGAGCAATCAAAAAATTAATGGTATAAAAGGTGTTGTATTAAGAAAAAGTTGTGATTAAATGATAACTTAACGTTTACGTAGTGTATGCAATGGTACAAATGGAATAAGATACTAATGGGGAAAATGAATCAAGATATACTTATGTATCGTCTGCATAAAACTGATTTTTTATATTTTGCTCCTCCAGAAGGATTAAGTATATTAACCGAAAAATGGACCTAGAGCAGAGCCTTGAGCGATGCCACTAGGTAATTCTATAGCATTACAAAATCAATTGTCAATTATAACATTCTTTTTTTTCCTGACAAAGAATATATGAAAAAATGATCTTCAACGGAATGGCTACTCCAAAGCGATGGTGGAACAGACTTTGGCTAAAAGACAGC